ATATCAATAACGGCAACCAAAAGAAATACTGGTATGAACTGAACCCGTTTTAAACGTTCACAACGATGAGAGAAGTGCACTGCTGCTTGCAGTTTAAAGACTGATTTACAATCTTACGGCGTTTAATACTTCGAGATGCATCCTGATCTAAAAAATGGAGTTTTTTTTAAAGGTGAAGGTTTTCTCTTCTCCGAAAACGTATGTAATCTCAATGTAAGGCTAAAACAGGACACAAAATGGTAACCTTGTTCGTTTTTGGCACTCTGGTCTTACAGTGCAAAGCCAATTAAGGTTTTAATACAAATCTTTTATTTCCAGGTTATTTTAGCCTAATTTTTCTTACTTCTCTACGAACTATTTTTTTTCTCCAAACCTTAGCAAGTGATAACACAAAATTAGATATAAGGTGAAAAAGTAAGTAAAAAAGTATAAAATTTTTCAAGGAAAGAAGACTTACAATACAAAAATTACTCCACTTAGATTAAGTCACATTGTATATAGGAAGGAGAGGAGAGAGGGGCACGTCTAGATAAACTAATATCGTGCCCCATAAGTTACGTCAGTATAAAAAAAGACTTGTAATTTTTTGGTAAAAGAAGTTAAGGAAAGCATATAAAAATAGCTCAGCAAATTGCCAAAGAGATGATATTCCATTAGTATTGTGCGAGGTACTAGCGTAAAAGTGCTTTTCTAAACATCTTTTTAGATGGTTTGTCTCTGGTTAATTGCGGAATACTGTTCCAAAATAATCTTTCAATAACGCTCGGGCAGAATCTTTTGAGATTAGTTTGAAATGAAAGTATGACTACTTGATTAGAAACAAACTACAAACTACAACAAATCTACAAACTAACATTCTTATTGTGGTAACTTGTATTGAAAGAGAAAAGTAGCAATAAAAGCAAGTCGATCAGTTTCTTTTCCCCTTCCGAAACCGATTACTTATGTCAGGTTACTACTCGTGATCATCTGGTTAAACATATTGTAGATTAATTATGTTGACGGTGAATGAATAGATATCCATCGTTATTTCCTCTCACGTAGATTTCAAAGGCTTGTTAAGACGTAGTCTCCTTAAAAGCGGTTCTGTGTTTAACAACATCGATTATCAAAAATAGCACAAATTGCCGAGCTCGTCTTTTCACAAAATTCCAGTTTGAGGGTTTTGTTTCGTTTCGCATATTTAAATCAACTCTTTATAAGAACAAAGCACATAAGTTTTGTTTTTTTAACGGGTTTTTTCACTGAAATTTTTTTGTTTGACACTTACTTTGAAGCCACCGCCACATTTTTCAAAAATTTGCACTAACAATGCAAATGGAGCGGTCTCAAAAATAAACGAAATTTATATGTCCAACTTTTGATTGACGCGTAATTTGAGTTCATAAAAGCTTTTTTTATGACTTGCAATAAGATAAAACATCATTTAGTGAAGAAAAATCTTCACCTTGATCTAGAAAAAAAGAGCGCCGAAAGTTCTAGGTGACCTGTTGTTTTGTTTATCAGCCTGAATTAATGAGAAAAGGGAAAAAACTTTAGAGGCCAGGATAGCTATGACAAGATTTAGGTTTATTCAGAATATTTCATGTCGTTCATTTAGAAACTGTTCATCTTAACAGCACTTATAAACTTTAAGTTAGCATAAAATCGTCGGAAAAAGATATTCTTTAAAAAAAAACAAATAAACCAGATGGATTATTGATTTGCTCAAAAAAACTGGGAGGAAGCAAGATCCTGCACAAGTAGCTAACGATATGTGCAAAGCTCGCAACACCGATGGCACATGAATGTTTAATAGAATGGAATGGCTTTCAAACCTTAAAAATATCGTAAGGAAGAATTTGAAATTTTGGGCTGAGCCGAGATAAAAAAACTACATATTTAGTGAAAAAAAAGTTAAAGAAACAAAACTTATGTGCTTTGTCTTTACAAAGGGTTGATCTAAATATGGGAAACGAAACAAAACCCTCAAACTGGAATTTTGATAATTGGTG